TTTGAATTTACGAGCAATGTCATAGAGGGAATTGTCTTCAGTAGCAAGAGTCTTTAAGAAGTTGCTCCATCGTTGAGATTTAAATTCCCTGATATCTTTTTTAATGGTCCTTTGAAGAGCGTTTCAGTGAGCTTTAATTCATGGGTCTCTAGTAGATTGCCATAATATCTGGATGCGATTTTTATATTTAATATTTTGCCTGATGTTATTCGGAAGAGGAAGAAAAGGATAATTACTGATGAATTTATTGGTAGCAGAACTTAAAACTTGTTCAATACTGTTGGTAAAATTTTGAATTTCCGTGTCTAAAGGCCCGTCCACACGAGTACGCTCGCGACGTAGTTGACGCAACTTTTTTGACGCCGGCGTAAATTCGCGTGACGCAGAAGACGTAAAACTGAGTTCTCTCCTGTTCTGCTCGCCCGTGATGCGCGCGAAAAGCCAATAGCCGACCGAGTTCTTATCACGTGTCATAATCAGAAAACCTTCTGTTTCAATATGGCATCAGAACCACACAGAGATGAGTTTCTGCTTAGAAATATCATAACTGTATACGGCAATAAAATAATCAGCATTGCTCACGCCATCTTCAGATTTCTCAAACCGTATATATTGGTATAAATTTCAAATTCTCATTAAAAGGGAAAACTGTATATTTATAAAGCAATGAACCGACCAGTATATCCATATGCTTCACCTATTTATAACACCGTAAGTAATAGGAACCTAAATAAATTACAGTTTCTACGAAATCAAAGTTTCTGCCTTACAAAATTCTAATTAATTATTATAAATATTGGCTATATCATGTGTAATAAAAAGCTCTATAAATATCCCAATATTAAATTCACCAAAAACTAACTTCAGCAATATGATAACTCCTAAAATAAAGCAGTTGACTGTGAAAGAGTATTCAATAAAATACAATTATGAAATTTTGGAGGAAAGTTACAACTTGTGCCATACAGCAATCATTTATTGAAGTTTAATTAAATTACCTTTGAAGTGACTTCTACTTGTTACATTATTTTTTACAAACACTGTTATCACAGATAGCTGAGTGGTCAGTGCGCTGCTTTATAAATGGGAAGGTGGCGAGTTTGAACCTCAACCTTACATAGTATATAATTCGGTTAGCTTTTCTTATTTTTAAACGTGTTTCTTATATTTAATCATGAATCATTATATTCTTATTTTACCTAATATTATTATTATTGTTTTCATTTCTTATTTTATTCATTATTATTATTGCTTTTAATTTAGTTTAAAAATGTTCACTGCAAATAGAAACCCTTATGTAATAATATATCTGCATCTCTTTATCATATATCATCTATAAATTCTCTCTTTATTTTTACTTTATTGCATATTTTATCATGCACATAATTTCTCAGAAACTGTCCAAAGTTTGAACCTCATTCTAAATTCAAAAATAAATAAAAAGAAAAACAAAAGACCAAGGGGAGTTCAAAAAATATGAAGTTGGATTTATTATATGGTGGATGGTGTATATAAAGAGAATTAAGTAATTTAATTTATACTGTATTCCAAACCAATTTTATAAATCCTAATTTTCATACAATATAGAATCTGCAAGGTCTGTCAAACTGGTCGATACTCATCCTGAAGTAATTAAAAAACAAGTAATATGTATATAAAAAAAAAGAGTCAATTCCTACTTAGGTCCACAAAGAAAAATTTAAAAAAATACAAAATAAATAAATAAATAAAAATACAAACAGAATTTTTTAAATTAAAAATTTATAAAATTTTAATATGTGAAAAAGCTGTATTAACATCAAGTGTCATCCACTACAAGTTAAAAAAATTGTATTTGAACTTGAGTGGATGAAAAAAAAAGTATTTTATTAACGACTAAAAATTTGAACATGATATACGGAGAGTGTGAGCTAATAGTAGGAATTTAATAATTCCGGATATTCGTTTCGCAAACGAGGCAGAAAAGAAAAAAAAATCTCTTAGAACAGATCGATCTAAATAAATCTTTCGGAACCATTCTAGTCAATTTTTTTTTTCGGTTTTGCCTCTGCTTAATCAAGTAAAGTTTCAGCTATCAAAAAATCATGTGATTCGGGCAACTTGCCGCAAACATATAGAAGCACAGCGAAGTAACGAGATACAGCTCCGTTGACTCTATATTAATGCGCCACGTGATTTTTTGCGCAAAATAATTCTGTTGGTTAAACGCACTCTTCGCAAGCGTACTCGTTTGGACGCTTTTTCGCTGGTAACGTCAAAGCGCGTTCATCAGCTACGTTTCGAGCGTAGTCGTGTGGACGGACCTTAAGACTTCTTTACTGCTAATGCAAGGATTTCCTGGTGTAGTTTCTGTCATAATTTGAGAATATTTATTCCAGTTGGTTATTCCAGTTGGTAATTCCAGTGCTGCGACCTAATGCAGGAAGGAAGCAGTTGATATTAATTTCATGCAAGATAGGATTAGGATTAGGATCAGAAGATAAAGCAGGGAAAATCAAGGAAACTCCCATGCAGCCAATCCGAGCGTCGAAAAAGATTTGAACTCGGGTCTCACTAGCAGTATTTAGCAGTTATAACCATTAGGCCAATATAGGACGCGGTGAAAATGTGGAAAACCATATACCAGAGAGAAAAAGGAAGTGATTACCCTAAATTACCAACTGTAGGTGAGAAAATATTTCTCTTGTAAATTATTTATTCCAAAGACTGCATGAGGTCAGCTACCAATGCTACATGTCTCCTTCATTCTTCGCCCCACCAGTGGCAGAGCGGTAAAGTTCGCTGTTAGTTCGGTCCGAGGTTCCAATCCGGCGAACGAGCTGGCTACTTTTCGTGGTTTTATTCCATGTGTACCGCGCCAGTTCCCCTTAAAAAGTTCTCCACGAAGGCATCCCTCCCCTTAGACAGCTAGTCCTCGAGGCTTTTGCCAACCTTCGTTCTTCAGTTTTTAATGATACTTTATGAAACGCTAAAGAATGCATGCACTATTTATCGATGTGCACTATCAGTTAATTTTTTTATACTTGAAAATTTTCTCTGGTACGTCCTTATATCATTAACACAGAACACTTTCATATACCTAGAATTGTTATATTATTACTCATATTCCGCTTCTGGTGACTTGCTGCGCGAAGTACTAATGACAGTAAGCACTGAATTTCTCCAGACTTGAAGCAATTTGCTCCTGAAAAACAACAACCACTCATTTGTTTTTTTAAATACTTTAGAGCATTCTCCACATAAAGCCTATTGTGACAGCTATCACGACTATATAAATGTGTAAAGATGTGTCTCTATTTATTCGTTATTTAAATAATTTAAACACCAGCTAAAAATTTGGCTCAAATTCGTGAAGGTAGTAAACAATCAGTGCGTTAAGAAATACATCAAGTATCTCGAAATTTGAACCTTTTTTCTAAAGTCCAAAAAGGTAGGTAATTAAAGTTAAGCACAGATCAAGTTTTATTAAAGAAAAGCAAATACATCAATTTTCCTTCATTCAATCACTAATTTTCATTCAAGTGTTAAAATGCAAAATTATTTATACTCCCGTTTAAGCGGATATATAAAAGGAGCGCAAATACACAGTAATCCGAAAACAGTTAAAATACAATAAAGATAAGCACGATCCATACTGAAATTAACAGAAAAATGCTGTTAACAATTTACCTGCGTTTTTCCAGCAGTTTAATTTAGGGAATTAATTCATTTGGTTACATAAGTTAAATCTGTTTTCAAAACAAGAACACCACATTTCAAAATATGAAGAAAAAGTGTTTTTGTTTACAATAGTATATTGGAGAAGCGAATGAGAGACATTAGATCAATAGCAACTAGCTTGATTTATTTTTACGATTACACAATTTACGCTTAATAAATTATTTAACAACATTTATATACCCGGATTTCGCAGAATTAAAATTACGTACTATTAGGGATAAAAACGTCTACCAAACGCGGTACAAACATGATCTGCCATCAATCCTGTTGACTCAGGAATTTTGTATTTCTTTTTTAATTATTTTTCTTGCACAGTATTGTTTACGTTGTTGGTTTGTTATAGTAGATATTTCATCGTTCCACAGTAAACAAAAAAAGTTTTCTTTCTCTCTCTCTCTCTCTCTCTCTTTTTTTTTTTTTTTTTTTTTTACAGAGCCCTGGTTTAGCGGCAACCCAGGTTATCCGCTCCTAGTTAATTCTGAGTTAAACTATATAAAATTCAAAGATTTAATATGCTTACAGGCACTCTTCAGGAGAAATGTAAATAATAATTTAGCTATGATTTCTTTTCTACGGTTATTTTTCAGTACGTTAAAATGCAAACTATAAAAATTCCAAAGTTTTTAATGTATTAAATTTAATGTATTTAATGTTTAATTTTTAATGTATTTAATGTTTAATTTTTAATGTATTTAATGTTTAATGTTTAAATTATTAAGAAATCAACAATAACCTCGAAATGGTTTCTGTAATAAAACTGCCCTTTGCAGAATGTGGGCATTTTGCCAACTGCTGATTTTAAAATACATTTCACACCGTAACGAAGTCATACAAGTTTGTCCTGTTTTACAAAGATTTATTAAATTAGAAATATATATACATATATTTGTTACATAAGACATGCAGTTAGAATACTTTGAAGGTGTTAAAGACAATTTAATAACTAAATCAATTAAACAAGCACAGAAGTAAAATTTCACTGCAAGATCATTAAAAATGATTAAATCTGGCATTCAAAATAGTTTTAAAGAACATCAGAAATCGAAAAATGCCGTAACACATTTTACGCTTCCTAATAAGATTGTTTCTGACACTTCACGACATTATGACAGTTATGTCTTGCCAAACGACAATGAAAGAAATTCCTGTAAATCAACTTTGAGTAACAGCGAAGAAATATTGATCTATTGTTTGCAAATATGTATCTAACAAAATAATAATAATAATAAATAAAAACAAATCGGTTAATAAATTAATTCGGGAATAAAAATAGGACTTACTTGATTAATTTAACTGAATGAAATTCTTTTACGTTCCGTTGGGGGAAACGAATGGTATCATGTATTTCAGGTACCGCGCGCAAAAAAAATAGTGTACGCTTTTGAAGAGTGATTCGGGAAATGAGCGTCGTTTTGTTAATGCCGAAGACTTGTGGAATGGAAAATGAAGCAAGCGGCTTCAAGGGACCTTCTCCTAATTGCGGAATTTTTATTTATCATAACGCTGCTGGAACTCATACGTTACCATTTTTTAAATTGTAATGACGACTAATTTTAGTTTTCTAGTTTTACTAGTTAAATTAGTTTTTCGTTGCCACACATTAATGATAAATTTTCTTCTTACTTTTCTAGCGCCTTACGAGTTGAACATTTAAAAAATCCTTTTACTTACTCTCGTCAGTTTTAAAGTACATATTTCCTTATTTTATTAAATAACATTAATCATTCTTTGCAATAAAAATTTAATCGTCCTCTTAAAGTATTCGTTCTTCGTTTACGCTTCCACAATACAGTCTATAAACTATAAAAAATGTCTGACATCTAGAAGCTTACTTACTATACAAACCTTTAAATGCCACTTTTGAGCATTTCATTGATTGCTCCATAATTGTTTATGCAGTAGAAACTCTGCACTAGTTAGCTAAAGGCACACCACCTGTCGGGCAAATAAGACCGCAGAACACTGGTAGTTTGACTCGGGTGCAAATCATAGCAAACGGACTGCCTGCCTGAGAGTTTTCACGTCTTCCTTCGTATGTGTTGTGAATTAGAAATAGTTTTTCTTGGAACGCTGCACTGGGATGCATCCTTTCCTTCAAGCAGATAAAGCCAGAACGCGAGGTTTTACTCTAGAGCATGTAAAATCAAGCTTGCATTTATGCTTCAGGGTTTCTTCGTTAATTTAAATAATATAGGAAAGCCAACCCACAGTGAAAGAACAGATTTCTAAGTAAGGAAGGGGGGAACTTATTTAGCTTTTTAGCGGTCAGATGTTTTTATTAGTTTGTTTAAAAACTTAGTTTATTTAGTATTGTCTCTGATACCTCTGTTAACGATTAAAACTTACCATCCCCAAATTTTCATCTTTACACTATAGTTTTGATTAAGTAATAATAAGTAAACTTTCAAATGAAAGTTTTTGGTTTCAGTTTATTTGCAGCATTTAGGCGTTTTTCAAAATCCCTTTTTAATGTTTATTGATTTTTTGTTATTGTATTTTATTACATTTTTAAATATGTATAACATGTTTATTGATTTCATCTGCGATTCCTAAAATGATAGAACTTCAATTCAGATGATTTGAAGGCCTACCAACGGCCGAGCGGTAAAGTGGCTGAACACTGATAGTTCGGTCCGGGGTTCGAGTTCCGCGAACGAGCTGGCTGCTTGGGCGTTTTTGTGGTTTTTCCCATATGTAACGTCTATGCGAGATAATTTCGCTTAGAAAGTTCTCTACGAAGGCGTCCCTCCCCTTAGGCAGATAGCTCTCGAGGCTATGCCGTAATCACATAACCAAACCAAATGAAATGGGATTTAGTTCTTTATTGTCAGTAGTTCCATGGTTTTTAAGTGATGATGAAGTGAGTCTTCTAAATTAAGCAGAAATAAAGAGAAATGTACAAGGGTCGTTCAAATGAAAGTGGCACTACAGTCGGTTTGAGAAATGGTTAAATGATATTAATATAAATTAGTATACAAAAGAAAGAAGTAATACAGATAGGCTATACAAAGTCATCTTGTAGGTTGAAACAAATATCTTAGCGATCAATGAGATGATGGATACCCTGGATGAAGAGGCTCCGGGTTTGGTTGTGGAACCAATTTTCAACAGCATCTTGGACCTCGTTATCGTCGACAAATCGCCGTCCCTTTAGAGATTTCTTGAGTGGCCTGAGGATGTGGTAGTCACACGGGGAGAGGCTGTAAGAGAGATGTTCGAGAACTTCCCAGTGGAATTACCGTAACAATGTTTGGGACGCCACAGCCGCATGAGGACGAGCATTATCATGAAAGAGGATAACCCCGCGCACCAGCATGCTATATATTCTGTTTCAGTTTCTGCAATGGGGCACAGTGCGTAGCATTAGTGACAGTCGTGTCCGTAGGTAGCCATTCCAACAGTAGTGGGACACCAACTTCAAAGAAGCACGTTACCATGACTTTACCAGCACTAGTGGGCGTGCGAGCCTTCTTCGGGCGTGGGGATGAAGAGTGTCGCCATTCGAGGCTCATGCTTTTGGTGGCTGGATCAAAGTGATGGCACCATGTTTCATCAGTGACAATGATCCTTGAAAGGAATTGGTTCCCCATTTCGTGGTACCACATAAGGTAATGCGATGAAGTTTCTGCTACTCTGTCAGATGTTTTGGCACCCACTGCGCGCAAACCTTACGGTATCACAATCTTCCGTGCAGTATTGTGTGCACATTTCATATGTTCACAGACATTTCCTCCCCTATTTCTCGAATGGTGATTCGCCGATTTATTTTCACTATACGGTCCACATCTTCAAATGCTTTCTGGGTGATCACCACATGCACTAGACCAGGTCGTGGCCTGTCGTCAGTACTACTTCTTCCAATCCACTACGAAAATCCCTACACCATTGGAATACCGACCTGCGTTTCCTACGCTCCATGCCATACGCATTTTGCATTCGACGATAGATTTCAGAAGCACTCACATTTTACGCTGTTAAAAGTTGCATGACCACGCCTTGACACCGTTCGGAGGCATCCATGATGGGAGAAATACTTTTTAACGTGCTCCGACGCTATCATACGCATATGGCGGGATCTGATGATATCGCGTCCACTCCCAGCAGTCTGCGCCCTCTATAGAGACATGTACAGTCATCTTTCTCTTCAAATAGCGGAGTTATTACAGCAATGCTACTTTCCTTTGAACCGCCCTTATAGTTGAAATGAATGTAAATTCACACCATCGCATAGACAGAAAAATCTTGGAGGGAGGGAGGAATGTTGTCACTCGTTCTTCGATGCTAAGCTGACTAGAAGGAATAATTTTTCTTACCTTTCAGAGGCGATGATCTCTTTCTGTATTACTTTTCCTTGCCTTATAAATAAGGAAGCATAAAATTAAGTATGTTAAAAAATCTTTTTAAGTTAAACAACTTGTATTAATCATACTAAAAAGTAAAAAAAAAAAAAGAAAAAGAAAAAGAAAACTAAGAGTTACAACATTCTTGTTAGAGGGGGCTCAAAATTTTGACGTCTGTGAGTGTATGAATTGTATTAGAACTTTTACAGAATTCCGAGAAATAATAGGTAATATAGAATTGACATGTGAAAGAATAGTTACATCTAGTTTATAAAATTTCTTTTTAGTCGTTTTAAGTTAAAATACATCACTGTTATCCTACCCAGGTTTTTGCATTTAGTTCTACATGAATTTTAGCTAATAAATTATTTTCTACTTTTTAGTTCAATTATTTAAAATTGTGTAACTTAAAAAAAATTATGTATTTTATTTATAAACTGCAGAGTAGAAAATGTGGAAAATTTTAATAGCAAACATTTTAACTTCATTTTCGTTTTAGAGCCAAAAATAATAATTAATTTTAATTTTAGTACAATAAAAACAACGACATTATATGTTTAGTTTTAGAGCCTACATTAGCAAAAATTAATCTCATGGTCTTATTTGAGTTAAAAATTAAATATTTTATCATAAAATGCAAAAATGAATTTGTTTGTTGCCTTTCGAGCCAATGGAAATAAAAATTTATTTCATTTTTTAATTTGGCTGTATTAACTGAGTACAATTAATTTTAATTGAAAATCCATTACAATTCCATTATAATCAAAAGATTTCTTTCTTTCTTTCTTTCTTTTTTTTTTTTGTTAGTTAATTGCACGAAATGCGATGAGGATTAACCTCAATGGATTACAACCAATATTGCTACATGTGATATTTAGTATAATACACGTAGATAAACTTTAAGGTAATAAATTAAACATATTATTTTTCTTGAAAGGGATTCTTTGATATGTAACATAATTCCTGATCGCTTGAATATCATTCAGCAAAATAACTTTATATAAAACAAAAAACATCTAAGATTTTTCAGAGTATCATATTCTAAATTGCGTTTTTTATTTAGATTGTTTTTGACTGTATGTCCTCAGATCTAACTGTGCGTGTACTAAGTCAACGTGGGGGATTGCCTTCTGGAGGCTAGTTTTGTTGATTTAAAAACGCACTTTCTTCCAGTTAATGGGCTTAAGCTGACAATGATGATTTTGAATGAGCTTATATTGAAGGTAAATAATGAGTCAAGGGGAAGCTTAAATACTGCACTTCTCTTGATTATTGAGTTATTTTCTACAAACCGAAATCTAGCAGATGTTTTTTATCTAATGGTTTCTGGTACGTTTTCGCTTGGCCCAACCGGCATTAACCACTTAACTAGTTTTATCAGTCTGCCAAAAGAGCAACCGCGCTTTTGAACTGTGTGATATACTCAAGTGTGACACGAATATCACCTTTAAAAACCTTGCGATTTTGATCGTCACATTGGCTTGTTTATTGATTAATAGATGGCATTAATCAATTGCAAACAAAATTATCAAATTGGGTTGAATGATAATTTAGATAATGTTCACGCTGTTTGTGAAACTAATGTTAAAAAATTGCTGCCTTACTTGTTTCACTAAGACTTCAGTTTCCTGACACTCCATCTCTTCCTATGAATATCGATAATATCGGAGAACTCTAAAATTTTTGGGCAGTTATTGATGACGATGTTACAAATATTGTAATAGGGGAAACTAATTGGTATTCTGTTCAATCGCATCAGCCAAATTGCTTGTGTCCATGTTATTAATATCGAAAGTTCATGGGCCCCAAATGAAATTCCTGTGTTTTTAACAATCGTCATGCTGCAAGGAATTATTGAACAAAACTGGGAATTTTGCTCCGTATTTAAAAATTTACCACATTTATTTAAAATATTAACTTGCATTCAGATATTTCCAGATGCGTGATGCATACGAATTGTTAATCTATGTAAAAGTACTTTGGAGCAGTCTTGCACACCTTGCCACGATGAATTTTGTGGTCTAGTTCTGATGTTACTGTCAGACAAGTGAGAGAAGTCCCAACAACAAACAACAAAAGTACTTTATTA